TGGCCAAGGATCTGAACTTGGGGCTACCGTGAAACAAATCCAGTGGTCAGGGTGGGACTCGAACTCAGGAGCAGCGGATTACGAGTCGGACACTCTAACCACTCAGCCACACTGCCTCCTTTCAACCATATTATCATACATTACCATAACCAAAAACAATAGAAAATAAAATTTAAACCAAGGATAAAATTGAACCACAACATATACAATTAATGCTTGACAAACATGTATTTTACTTTAAGTCCTTAGGCATACCAACCTACACTCGAGTCTGTTGTATCAGCCGGTGCAGTTATTACTCTAGGTTTTTCATGAGTTTTGGGATATGCAGAATGAATAGTTTTAGTACCAGACATGAGCTTTTGAAACCATTGCCATGCAGTAATGGATGAAAGTTAGTATGAGAATGCACTACTAGCGGCACAAGTAACTTAACAAGGCATGGTTGGCTCTTGGAAAGAAGTAAATACACAATTTTCAGTAGAGGTTGTGGTTTTCCAGTTTTAACTCTAATACAGCTTCTTTGAAACAGAGTTAATCTGTTTGAAATAAACAAGTATTCCAACACTGCATTTTTCTCTAATGGCACATCTGAAGTGATGGGCTATGCCATTGGCAGATCTTTCGCTCTTTTTGACCTAACAGGAGCTTTATCCACCTTAAACATATGATTTAAGAAATAAAATGATACATTTTTAAAATCATGAACGAAGTTAGATGATTGTTTACTCCTGTTTCATTTATTTAAAACAAGACCTAAGTTCCCGAAGCCACGTGTTTCACAGTACAGTGTTCTGTTTTAATTGCGAAGTTGCGGATTTCAGTAGATCTCATTTTGAATTAAATAATGTTGTTCTGCCCACTAGAAACACATTTCTGAACCAGCAAAATTCTGCTTACATTTGGTTTGTGGTTAGGTCAAAGACTAACATTTAAATAAGCAAAGATATCTTATGTGAAGTAATTATAGCCTCTTTTTCAACGAAATGGGAATAGAGTAACCTCAAATCAAAAACCCTGAGATACACTTTGTGAACAATCGTTAATAGGAGGCATTGACTATCCTTCCAAGTAATATTGCTATTGTGAGGGAGATGCAACAATTTCAGGACTGCAATCCACAGAAACATTGGAGGTAAGAGTATATTATGTTAAATAAGCAGTAGATTGGACGTAAAATGTGAAAAAATTGAGTTTGCATGAGTATGTGTACCTTTTCGACTAATTGATGACACAGTCAAAGCAGTGCATTTTATCCAACTTTAAAATTTGATTAAATCACCCTGAATCATTCCCCCAAAAATCCTTAGGAGATCCAAGAGAACTACAGCTTCCACCTTCCAAAACCCAGATTTCCGGTTAATTATTTTTTATAGCACATAGTTAAATTACAGGCTACTTCTGACCTATTTTTAATCTAGTTGGAAGTAGGTCAGATAAATTCAATTAGATTGTGTAAATAAATGGTCAAGAATTGCTCAAATTACAATCAACATAATTATGTTTTGATGTTGTTTTTCAAGATTTGGTACTTTTTATTGATCCAGGTTTTTTCATTTTGTGACGCGATGCTCCAAGATGTGTCTGAAATTTTGAGCCTCAAAAGCCACATTTTGGCGGTATTCAGTTATCGATTTTCTCAAAAATAAATCGATATTCAGCCAAACGAAGAACTACTTCACTTTGAAATATGGGCAAAATTGAATTTTCAGCTGTTGCCACCAAATGTTTGACTGTTGGTAACGTTCACTCTTAATGGTTAGGGTTATAGTGAGTGTCTTATTATTAGTTAGTATGTCTTATTATTGATACTTAACTTCATTGTTACTTTATAAATTGACTCCTGCATGAGCTCTTTACTTCGTACCAATTCTACCATAGCCTAGGGGTTGGCTGTATCAGATCAATTCTACTGGTTGATTGTTAAAAGTTTCCCAAGCAACACCTTGATTTTTTGCTTTGCTGTCATTTAGGGTGATCCCCTGTTTCTTGCACTTCTTGAGAAAAGGGTGAGTGGCCACAAAGAGCAATCAGTAAGACCAGGCTTTTCACCAAAACGTTACATTGCTACTCTTGGAAATTCACTAGAAGAGGACACTTGGAATCGTTTAGCAGCAACAGGATCATTTAAGGACCCCTCTTTGTTGACTCATGTCCCACAAAGGACTCCCATGCATGGTGAAGCTGTTTGTAGTCTTTTTCCAGGGAAACCACAACCTTATAGCACAATGTCACTACCTCCTATTTCTCCATCAAGTTCAATGCTTGAAAGCTCCTTTCATTTTTATAAGAATGGAATGTCAACTGGTGCTGCATCAATGATCTCTTTAAACAGTGAAAGCGAAGAATATGCACCATCCTCAAGGGCTTTAAGTCCAGCAGAATCACTGAATGATCGTCTGTCAGAGGTTGAGTTCCTACCCCAAAGAAAAGACCAATATACACAGTTAAACTCCACACAAAAAGAGAATCTTTTATCTCAACTTTTGCTTCAAAGAACTTTAGAGTCAATGAATTCTGATTTGTCAGACCTCCAAGGATGGGTAACAAGTTATCCAGAAACTGGGGGAGGAATGGAAAAGGATCCTGTCTCTGTAGCAACATTGTCAAAAAGTAAAGCCAAACACAGAGGAAGCCTGAAATCAGGGTCTTTGTCTTCCATACCACGTTTGCCACCCATACAGTCTGCAGGTGCTCGACCATCAACACCAATTGAATTTAAAGAAGAAGAATCACCTTTGCCAGAAACATCAGTGGAACAAACTATTCATCAACAACTAGATATTACCACTGAAAAAGATGGAGCTAATGACATTGTTGATCCTAGTTCTGTCCATTTGGATTTAAGTTCCTTCCTAGCCGATGAAAGTACTCCTTTTGTTAATCAGGGAGACCTTCAAGGAAGATCCCAAAGTGAGTAACAAGTAATTAAGTCAGGTTTTCAGGAGCTATTATCTTGTTGTAAGCTGACCAATAGTTAACTTTTATTGATTAAAAAATGCTGATTTAATTTGAGAAGATTAATGCCTTGTACTTGAACTTACCATGCATACCATGGGATCCAACATACAGTAGATCTCACTAACTTGTGCTCCGAAGGGAAACAAAAACTGGTTTGAATTTTATGTCCTCAGAATTTTTCCCTCCAAATATAAATTTCCAAATTGGACAGCATATATTCGTATTACACATTCAAATTGTTGGCTTGAGGAATTTTTTTCCCTGCTGGTGCTCAGCAATCCTGTTTTACCTAAAATTTTATCATTCACTTTTTCAAGTCAAATGTTATTTTCCAGTAATGAGACGTGACCTTAAATGTAAAGTATTGTGTTTTGTGCTCAGTTATGGAATGTTCTGGATTATTATACTAATTTTTCCTTCTCTAGAAGAATATTTCATCTTAGTTGACAAATACATGTACTATTTAGTGTAACCATTAAGTTAAATGCATTATAATTTCCAGCCCTATCCTCTCATGTCTTTTAGGTGATGGGGATATAAATTATTCTGAAGAAACTACAGCAGATATTAAGGATAATATGAAACATGTAGACCAGACTGATAATGCCAATCAATCAGTGACCAGTAGGAAAAGCAGTGAAGGTACTCCTCAAATTTTTTATTCCTCCCTTTATTTTCAGTTTTTTAGAAAGAACTACATATACCAATACTGGACAAAAAAATATAACAATATCAATAGTACAAGTGAACAAAAAAACCACCAATGGTGCAAAACTGTATATTTATCAATTTATCTTTTGCTCTAAGGAGTATTTAACTGAATCATGCAAACTTTTGCAATGTAGCATCAGGAGTTTCTGGATTTGACAAGGAAAGTGAAGCATACTGCTTTATGGAAAATTACACGTACAACTGTTGTATTGGACTTTGATAAACTGCTAGATTCTCCTTCCAAAATTTCTTGGATTTCTTCATAACACAGAGAGAGGAAGATACTGCATCAAAACTCTCCTGTCAGAAGAGATCAGCTGGTAACTTCTCCGTGCATTACATTGTATAAACACATTACGTAGTATTGTGAATACTCAGAGGGGGTGCCTCAATGTGAGACAGAATCTAAGAAAGAATTCAGTCACAGCTGAAGTGTGACAACTAGAATAGAGAATTATATCTAAATCCTAGGTACCATCTCAGAATCAGTAACACCCAGTGACCCTGGGATTGAAGGAAAACCAAACAGACAGAGAGAGAATTCTGGCTGTGAAAATTCAGTGGAAGATCAAGTGACAATAACAAATGATGTGATCGCACTTGATGACATTGTACTGAGTGAGGACACTATCTTTGATAGAAGGCTAATTACTCAAGAAGAAGAGATTAAACGTGATCATAAACAGACATTAGAAAATGTGGACCAAACAGAAGAACCTACAGGTGATGACAGTCAGCCACAGGTGCAGAAGATGGAGAGGGCCGAGTTAGATCATACACATACAGAAGCTGGTGAGAAGGATGAAGGAATTGGAATTGATGAAGGTGTTGTTGACAGGGGTGAAAAAATGGGAGTTGCAGATGACGATTTGGCAATTACTGATAAAGGTAATCTTAATTATTATAAAGGGAAACATATCCAGTTTCAGTATTAAATTTACCTTTGGTAGGAAAGTAAATTTATACATAATCATTGCACTGGGTTTAAATTTGCAAGAAAATGGCAGATCTTCTCATCGTTTTCTATGATTTATGAAGGAATTCAGTGAAACGGCGAGCAAAACAGGTACTGCCTTTCTTGAAGGTTGAATGGTGCAGTTAAAGGTACCCTGTCACTTTTCAACTGCGATGAATCAATGTGGACGTTAAATTGAATGTTCACGTATGTTAAATTGGTAGCAATGGGCGCAATCAATTGAATTGTACTTTACCAGAATACTAAGCTAGGATTTGTCGTGAATATGGCTCAAGTAAGGTGCAGAAGTGTAAGTCCTATGTAGTTTTACCACCCCTGCTGAACCCAGCCTCTGGTCACTTCTTCCTTTCTGCTATCCCAGAGTTTGCGTTTCATATTTATGTAGTAAGATGTGGAAATATCTTATTTTTTAGGCATCCAAGCCAGCCAGGAGAGCAACTCATTGCCACCAGTTGAACCTCCTCCACCGCTAAGCTTGGGGGAACTTCAGGAGGAGGCTCAAACTGTGGCCAGTAAAGTTCTTAGTCGTCCACAATCAGGAATGGTATTCATGGAGGACATAAAGGCTGCCATTGCAATGTGGGCTGATCGCCTAACGCACCTTTTAGGACCCCCTCGACGAGGTATATGACAAATTTGTCAATATTTTGTGAAGAAAGATTTAAAACATTTGTGTCTGGTGCAAGACAAGGAGAAAAAATTTAAGACCCTAACGATTTTTTTCCTTTTGCACTCTTTTAGTATTGATGCTTTCCAATTTTTATCTTTGAAGCCAGCAATCCTTACCACTTCAAAGTTGAATTCAATTAAGCTCAACATCTGAGGTCATTTTACAAATGTGAATGCCATTTTTCCTGGATTGAGAAAAGACAGTTTACGACGACCTCCATATAACTTTCCTAAGCCTGTCAATCACAATTATTGAAACAGAGTTGTAAAGTGAGATAACCTTTTAAAATACAAATATGAGAGTGGCTGTGGTAAGGATATATTATCTGTCCATTATGTTTACTGCAAGTTCAATGTAGATCTTGTGACGAAGAAACTCTTTAGTGTTGTTAATGCCGTATGTACCTCATCATTAAATTTATAGATTTACCCCACCGTCTTTGTAATTCATATTGCATCGACTATAACCTACCGCTAATGTGAAATGGCAGGCACGGGGGCTTGAATTTGTTCTTTGTTCTGTCTTTGCTCTCTGTTATTTTTCTATCTTTTTATCTCTCTGATCTTTCCTGGTCCTCGACTGCAACGCTTGAATTGACCAGAAAAACTGTTGTCATTTCTCTTTATCCAGCACTTACAGGTGTTTTAAGTAAGGTGTTTGTTATCGCTTCTTTCAGCGACGCGTGTGAGCTCTGCCAACCATCAAAGACAGCATTCAACACACCTGACTGCAAAGGAAGGCTCACTTCGCCTTGTAAGGCATCGCAAGTTAAGCAGATCGGCAGGTCCTTCACCTGCAGCTCTACGAGAGGCACTTAGGATTTCCGGAGGTAAGCAAATTGACAACTTTCCCTAACCTTAAATTGGCTCAAGGCAGTAAGCAGCCTTTGTATTTTTATATAGATAGGAAGTTTACGATCAGTGCAACAAAACAAATTTGAACGCTTCAGAACCGTAGCTGGAGATCTTTGAGTTCGCTGTAGGAAAAAGTTAAATTAACGTCTTGAAATCTGGAGAACACTTCACCCCTCCCCGCCCCGCGCCGAACATGCGTAATTCGTAAAGAAGCGAAATTTCTTATGTCAATCCACAGGGGGCCCAAGTTCTTTTGAGAGGATAATATTATAAAGCTTTATATTGGAGTTTGGGCTCAGAACAAAAACAACACAAGCATCGCTATCTAAAGGTTAGAATTTAATTGCTGTATTATATTCGGAGTTACAGAGCGGAGCCCAAACTCCCATACAAAGCTGAATAACTTTTGTCCTCTCCGAGAGAGCTTGTACCACCTGTTGGTCGTTATTAGTGATTCATATCGTCCAGAAAAGTTAGCTTCATTTTCTTGTCTTTAGTATTGCTATTTATTTATTTATTTATTTATTTATTTACCACTTTAAGTCCTCACTCTCAACAGAGCATTACGGACTGCTACCCACCCATCCCACCCCAGGGAGGACATCCATCATACAGTGATCTCGTGCGTGGGAAATTAACGTCTCCTACCCCTAACCCTGCAGGAGACGGGGCTTACGGTTTATTCGTCCTTATCCGTGAAGACTAGAATGTCTAACCATTTCCTGAAATCATAGAAAGGTAGCACATTCTCCAGTAATTTTAAGACCTTGAGTGTTGGTCCGTCCGGGGCTCGAACCCTCGACCTCCCGCTCAACCATCCAGCGCTCTATCCATTGAGCTAACCGGGAGGCGGTTAAGAACACTCCGTCAACATATTGAGTCAACTTGTTGACTCTTTACACCCCAACATCAGTATTCCTATTCTCCATACTGTTCTCGATACATTTTCTGAGGCGCTGACAAGAATTTCTTCAACAATCAAGAGCGTGGTGAAATTAGATGCTGTTCACTCTTAAGGGCTTAAAGGGTTTATAAAGCAGCTATAATTTGCCAATTTTCTTCTTCGAATACCTAGTTGTATATGTGCACGATCCTTCGCAGTAAAGCACTATTTAAGCAATAGTGAAAATCAGACCTGAAATAAATTTCAGGCCTGTACGGGATTCGAACCACTGACCTCTGCGATACTAGTGCAGCGCTCTACCAATTGAGCTAACAAGCCAACTGGGAGCAGGCCATCAAATTAATTCGACATAAACCCGTAGATGATAAATCAAACAACAAATATATATGAAATACATAAAGATGAACTGCGGTTATGAAACGTATATGGAATCCCGTACAGGCCTGAAATTTATTTCAGGTCTGATTTTCACTATTGCTTAAATAGTGCTTTACTGCGAAGGATCGTGCACATATACGTTTCATAACCGCAGTTCATATATATGTATTTCATATATATTTGTTGTTTGATTTATCATCTACGGGTTTATGTCGAATTAATTTGATGGCCTGCTCCCAGTTGGCTTGTTAGCTCAATTGGTAGAGCGCTGCACTAGTATCGCAGAGGTCAGTGGTTCGAATCCCGTACAGGCCTGAATTTTTTTCAGGTCTGATTTTCACTATTGCTTAAATAGTGCTTTACTGCGAAGGATCGTGCACATATACGTTTCATAACCGCAGTTCATATATATGTATTTCATATATATTTGTTGTTTGATTTATCATCTACGGGTTTATGTCGAATTAATTTGATGGCCTGCTCCCAGTTGGCTTGTTAGCTCAATTGGTAGAGCGCTGCACTAGTATCGCAGAGGTCAGTGGTTCGAATCCCGTACAGGCCTGAAATTTATTTCAGGTCTGATTTTCACTATTGCTTAAATAGTGCTTTACTGCGAAGGATCGTGCACATATACGTTTCATAACCGCAGTTCATCTATATGTATTTCATATATATTTGTTAATACCTAGTTGGTTCGATTTGTATAACCATTTAGGATGACGATCAGGTGGTCAAGTTATAACTGTGGGTAACATTTAAATAGTTAAGCGAGGATAACTGTGCAAACGATCATAATTAGTCATAACTAGTCAACTTGTGCTGTGAAGCATGTCACTTCAGGTGTCCTAGCGAATTTGGACCACCCTAGATTTGGACCCCCCGGTCCAAATCCGCTAGTGGATATGGACTCCCCGGTTCAAATCTGCTAGCGAACATGGACCTCCCCGGTCCAAATTAGCGAACGGTTTTGGACCCCTCTCCGTGGAATTGGATCCCCCAACAAAACTGAACTCAGCTATATGGGAACTTGGAATCGAGCGCTTTTTGCCAAAAGTATATACCGCAAGCGAAAAATATGTGAAAACTATGCGAAAAATATGTGTGAAACTTTGATTGAAAGGATGCTCGATGCTCAACGATGCTCAACGATGCTCAAAGCGTAGATGTCACATTAATTGTTGTGATTGGTCCGTTGGTTCTTTTATATCCGCTAGTGGATATGGACCGAAACGAAAGCGAACAACGAGGTTTTTCACTATCTCCGCGATATCGAGTATCCGATCGAGTTTTCGAAAGATCAGAAAATAATTTTACGTGAGAAAGCCCAAAAATTCGTTCATAAAGATGGTGCGCTCTTTTTCATTGGCTAGAGAAACGGTCAGCCTAGATTTAGTTACCTTATATGATGCAAACGATGCCTAACAGCCTCCCGGTTAGCTCAGTTGGTTAGAGCGCCGGATTGTGTTGTGTGGGAGGTCGAGGGTTCGTGCCCCGGCCGGACCAATACTGATGGTCTTAAAATAACTGAGGAGAATTTGCCACCTTTCTATAATATCAAGTAATGGATGGATATTCTAGTCTTCTCGGATAAGGACGAATAAACCGTAGGCCCCGTCTCCTACAGGGTTAGGGGTAGGAGACGTTAATTTCCCGCGCACGAGATTACTGTGTGGTGGATGTCCTCCCCTAGGGTGGGATGGGTGGGCAGTGTTGTAAGAATGGCCCTGAAAAGCCCTATAAGGGAGTTGT